GAGGCAGGGTCATTGTAAAAACTCCGTTTCTGACCTTCCTGCCCGTTTCTGCTGGCCTGGGTTCTATCCTAGCTCTGCCTCTCCCTGGCTGTGTGACTTCAGGCAAATCATTTTCCCTCTCTGGACCTTGGCTGGCTCATCTGTAAAATGGGTATATCACTGCCCTACTTACCTCACAGGGTTGTTACGAAAATGAGGCACTAAATGGATGAATAAAATTTGATTAATTGTAAAGCACCATATAGAGGTGAGGAATCATTAATAGATGTTTGTGGAATGCATGAAGGAGAGAATGAGCGGGAGTCAGGCTGCCAGGTCAGGGCCTGCCCTCCTTCCAGCCCCACCTACTCCTGAGCCATGATGGCCTCTCCCCTCCACAGTCCTCCATCCTGGATTTGGCAGACATCTTCGCACCTGCCCCGGCCCCACCCTCCACACGCTGCTCTGCTGACCCATGGGACATCCCAGGTGGGCATGCAGGGCTGCGAGAGGCTCCCAGGCCGGCCCCAGAGAGCCCTTCCTTCCCAGCCACTTGCTGGCAAACCACCTCCCACAGTAACTGAGGGTCACCAGGGAAGCCACTCACCTCCCTGAGCCTCAGCTGCCTCTGTGACATGGCCTTCGTGAGGCCTGGGGGAACATGTCTGAAGGGACCAGCTCATGGGAAACTTGGCAAATGTTTCCTCATGGCCCTCACTCGCCCAGTCCATCCCTGCCTGGGGAGGTAACCTGAGGGGCCCAGGTTCCTGGGATAACTTGCTGAATATGGCTCCAGCTTACTGGGAGGTCTCGAGTCAGGATCCAGTCTGTGAAATGCGTCCCACACCTCCTACCTTGGGCTGGGTAACTGGGAAGCACCCTGGACCAGAGATAAGGGTGGGTCTGGGATGATGTCTTTGCTGTTCCCATTTCAGGTCTCAGGCCAAGCACAGAGGCCAGCGGCTCCTCCTGGGGGCCTTCTGCAGACCCCTGGTCTCCGGTCCCCTCAGGAAATGTTCTGTCTCGAAGCCAGCCCTGGGACTTGACTCCTACACTCTCCTCTTCTGAGCCCTGGGGCAGGACCCCAGTGCAACCTGCCGGACCCCCCACCAAAGACCCCTGGGCACCTAACTCTCCCCACCACAAGCTTCCCAGCACTGGGGCTGACCCTTGGGAGGCTACCATGGAGATGTCTGACACACTTGGTAAGTACAGGGCTGGAGGGTGTGGGAGGGGCTGGGGCACTTCTGGGTCCCCCTCTGTCCAGTGCCAGTGCCAAGGAGACAGCAGACTCTGTTTAAAGGGCCACTTCCCTGGAAAGGAGTCAGACCAGTGCCTGCCCTTCTTGCCAACCCATCTCATCTCCCTCTTTCTCCTCGGCTGGCTCTAGGTGGTACTTCAAACTTTGACCCATTTGCCAAACCTCCAGAATCCACGGAGACCAAGGAAGGGCTGGAGCATGGCCAGGCCCTGCCCTGCAGGCAGCCCAGCAGCCCTGTGGGTGAGCAGGAGGGAGGGGATGCAGAGGCTCTGCGGAATGTGGGGCCCCCCAGGGCGGGCCTCTGCCCTCTTCCTCCCACATCGGTGGCCAGTCCCTCTCCCCACCAATGAGCTCTATCGTTTCTATTCCAGAGCTGGATCTGTTTGGAGACCCCAGCCCCAGTTCCAAGCAAAATGGCACGAAGGAGCCAGATGTCTTTGACCTGGGTGTCCTCGGGGAAGCGCTAACCCAGCCTGGCAGGGAGGCCCGATCTTGCCGGACTCCTGAGTCCTTCCTGGGCCCCTCAGCCTCTTCCCTGGTCAATCTCGACTCACTGGTCAAGGCTCCCCAGGCTGCAAAGTCCCGGAACCCCTTCCTAACAGGTAGGACGCCCCCTCGCCCCTCAATACTGGAGGCCCCTGCCCTGGAACTTTCCTCTCCTCCCCCATTTCTAAAACCCGGGATCCTGCCGCCCTGCCCCTTCCCTGTTTAGGGCTCTGTCCCCCGGCCCGTTCCGAGCCCCCCTCCACTCTCGTTCCGCAGGTCTCAGCGCTCCGTCCCCCAGCAACCCGTTCGGCCCGGGCGAGCAGGGCCAGCCCGCCCTGAGCCAGATGCGCACCGGGTCGCCGGCGCGGGGGCTGGCG